TCGTGGAGTCCTCCCTTGCGGGGGCTCTCCTCGGAGGTCTCCAAGTTCTCCAAGTTCTTTCTCCAACTTGGGCGGAAACCACCCAAGCCTTTTATACGGCTAGCAAGCCAATCACTAGCCGCCACGTGTGAATAATTTCACGCAAGCCAATAATGGGACTCGAATTAGCATACAAATGGCGGGAACTCTTTGCACTGAGCATTTCCTAGATGCAAAAGAAATGCACCATGCAAAGAAAGCTACAAATTGGTGGGAAATTCTCCCTTGCACCGGGGTTCTCTTTTACAGCAGAAAACTCCACCGTGCAAAGAAGCTGCAATTTAGCGGGAAAATAATTCAGTGGTGCCAAAGCACACACAAAAACAAAAATCACAACTTTGGGTTGTGACAGGGACGTCCTGTTGTTCTTCTTCCCTCCACTAGTTCCCCATATAGTATGTTCTTGGGTATGCGTCTATCTTCCAATCTGCTCAGGTGGCCTAGCTGGGGCAGTCATCTGTGTTTGGATAGGGCTGTCACACTTAGTAAATTTGCCCTCTGAAGAACCTCTGTGTCGGTAATTTTATGTTGCCATTTGATGTTGAGTATGCAGCATAAACAGCGCAGGTGGAAGCTTTTTTACCTTTTCTCTTGGTGTGCATAAGCTGTCCATATTTCTCCACCATACATGACAGTGTTGAGTATGAAAGCTTTGTACACTAGTATTTTGGTCTTGATGGTAAGCTTTGAGTTGTTCCATTCTCTCTCAGTTAGTCTGCTGAAGGTAGTGTCAGCCTTTCCAATGCGAACATTAAGTTCTTCATCCAGTGAGAATTGGTAGTCACTGCAGAACCTAGGTAGCTGAACTTTTAGACTACTGCCAGCTCGTTCTCATTAAGGATGATTGATGGATCTTGTGGAACTCCCTGTCCTAGTACAACTGTTTTCTTTATGTTGATGGTGAGAGCAAATACCTGGCAAGCTCTTGAGAGGCGATCTATGAGTTCATGTAATAGGTCTTCGTTTTGGGCTACAAGAGTATCAGGAGCAGCAAATGGAAGCTCCCTGGTAAGCACCTTTCTAACTTTAATCTTTGCCTTAAGTCCTGACAGGTTGAAGAGTTTCCCATCTAATCTTGTGTAGAGGTTCACTCCACCTTCTGTGTCTTTAAATGCGCAGGAAGCCAGACTTAATGATGTAACAATCCCTGCTGCTTTTAAAATCTATGAATCCTCTATAGTCCTAGGTACCTTTTCTTCCAAGCTGATTTGACTCCCCTTTCTCAGAGAAGAACCTAATGGTGCCTGCATTGCTTGAGACAAAAGAAAGGCTGGGAACATTTGCAAGAGCGGGGTGTGTATATATCGATATTTCACCTTCACATAAATTGGAACCTACTCTGTTCAAGCATCCCAGGGCAAGAAAAAAAAGTCTCTTGGGCTCAGACATAGTGGAAATTTTCAACACTAAAAGGACCTTCTTTGCAGTATTTCCAGTAACTGAAAATTGTGGGTTAAAATGGAAGCATTTTTCAGCCTTAATTAGAGTTTTTGCTGCTTACAAATGTGGCAGACATCTGCTGTGAGCTCTGATGTGGGCAGTACTTTGCAGTATGTGGCTGCTACGACCTGGTACATACATTCTTTGTGTGAATGTTAATGAGCTTAGTGCAAGTTTCTTGTTCCTATACAATACAGGGAAGTAGCTTCTGCTCTGAGGTTCCCACCTTTCTGGCATGTCTTCTGTTTTGATAAAACCATAACAGATCCATCCTTGGAGATTAAGGATGTTACTAGGATTCAGGAAGGACTATAAATGAATAAGGCATTAGGTTGGAATTTATCCTGCTGTTTTAGTTGGTTTGAGTCAGTAATTAACCACTTCTGACTGCTGAGACAGCCCATTTCTCTTGTCAGTATACTGTAGACCCTCTGCAACAGAAGCATTAATGTGAGCATTAATCTCACATTCTACATCTTTGAAGTGCTGTGCCAGCATTAAGTAGCTGTGAGCTGGGGCCCACATGAAAATTAGCTCAATTTAACCAAATGGGATTCTGAGCCCACTTGGTTAAGTTGGTGCCACCTTTTGTACGAACATTTGGGAACCAGAGCGAGTAGCTCTGAAAGTGATTTAGTTAGAAACTGATACAGTCCAGTTTCTAACCACTTCATAATTCTTTCTGAGAGAGGTCAGTATTATCTCTGTGATATTGGGGAGACAGGTTCAGAGAGGGGCAGTGTATAAGGCCATATTTAATGAGCAGGCCTGGGAAGAAGCCAGCTGCATGCATGCTCTACTAAGTAATGCAGCCCAGTCTTCTGCAGCAAGTGTCCTTACCTTTCCCATTGTTTTCCTGTACATACTTTGGAAAGCATGTGCCTGGGCTGCCCATTTGATATTGTGCCATGTCCTGGAAGATGTTTCCAGCACCCACCACAATGCTGAGCATTTAGCAGCAGACAGGTCCAAGCTCTGCCCAGCACACTCCCAGAAGGATGATACAGACACACTAGCTGCAGTTGACTGTCCCAGACTGATGCATAAAGCCTCTTCTAGCAGCTCGGACTGGGAGTTGGGCAGGCTGCAGCAGTGACACAAGGCCATTGTTTTTTAATTTGCCACCTTTTCCTCTTCTGAATCCCTCCTAGCAGAGCAGACCTGAACAGGGTGTGGGGCCCGGGGCAAATCAGCCCATGTGGGGCCCCACCCCTGCTCTGATCCCATGGCCCCAGACTGGAAGAAGCTGCCGCCACCAGCAGTAGCAGCAGCATTGGCATCAGCAGCAAGGCGGGGAAGGGAGGATAGTAAGTGGCTGAATGCAGAGCCGCTGCTCCGCCCAGCTCCATGCCGCTGCTGCTCTGCCCTGCTCTGCCGGGCCCCCCAAAGCACAGGGCCCCAGGGCCCCACCCCTGCTCTGATCCCATGGCCCCAGACTGGAAGAAGCTGCCGCCACCAGCAGTAGCAGCAGCATTGGCATCAGCAGCAAGGCGGGGAAGGGAGGATAGTAAGTGGCTGAATGCAGAGCCGCTGCTCCGCCCAGCTCCATGCCGCTGCTGCTCTGCCCTGCTCTGCCGGGCCCCCCAAAGCACAGGGCCCCAGGG